GAGCCGCTGTCGGGATCGGCCGCCCCGCCGGGCTCCCTCGGCGCTGTCTGCCCGTTCCCGCTCGGTGCGAGGAGAATTGAGGCCCTTGGAGCAGGGACCGCGGAGCAAAGGATGCTCCCATCCCCTTGTTCTCCTTTAAACGTGGAAAGTGGGCTGAACCCCCCGAATTTCGTGCTCTGAATAGCTAGGACACCAGCGTAGGCAGGGCTGTTACAGCCTTGCACCTCGGTTTTGTTTTTCTTCTGTTTCTCCTTTTTGGGTTGCTTTAGGTCAGGGCTGTGAGAGGTGAAGGGCCCAAGTCCTTCAGGCTTTTGTCTGCGATGAGCCTTGTGCATTAAAAGCCACCTCGATGATACACCGTTGTGAGTTGTTGTCTGCCCAAAAGTGAAGTGCCAGTGTTGTTAGAAAGCAAATGTGTGTGATTTGGTTTTGGGAATTTGGAAAATGTTTGATGTTAGCCAGCTTAGATTTTTTTATTAGAAGATGGACGATGAATGCTTTTGATGCTAAGATTCATCTTTAAGGGTGAAAATACGATTTTTGGATTGCATGTCTCTGATTTCTCTCTTTAGACTGTGTATCATTCAGAAAAGGAGAATAATTCTGGCAGAACCACCTTGCTGAAGCAGAGACCGACTGTGTTCCGTGATCTTGATAATGACACGCCACGGGTTATGCTCAAGAGAATCATCCGGACCCGTAAGTATGTTTTTTCAGGAAAACAGAACAGAAAGACAATGTTTTGGTGTAGTTGAGAACAGGTGTTCTGTAGCCTGTTATTCTTACCCTGTTACATGGGACAGAAATCCACACCGTCATATGACCGATTTGTGCAAAAGAGGAGAAATTGCAGCAGTGGCAGCTGAATGAGGTCGTGTGAATCAGACCAGACATTGATGAAAACGTATCCTTGGAAATCTTCTTCATTCAGTCTTCTTATCCTGGTGGGCAAGCATGTAATCTTTGTGCTGCCTTTAGCTGTGGGATCACATGTAAATTATAGGCACGTGCTGTTGCCAACCTCAGTTCGGCTCTGCTGCAGTACATGGAACCCCCATGCTGCTATTTGCCACTGTTGGCTTTGTTATTGTATGTGTCAGCCTTCCTAGGAGTAGAACCCAAATAGTTTTCAGCAGGTCTTTATTTTAACCTGTTAATAAATGTAATTTATAGAATGTAGTGTAATTTGATACTCTGCTGTATTTTTGCATTCTTGTGGGATTGAATTGTGAAAAGGGAATGTTTTGGTTTGTTGGCAGAACCACAGGTTTCACCTCTAGCGCCTCAGATATCTAAACATGAAGAAACAGAAGCAGCTTGGTCAGAACTCCCATATAAAAGGGTTTCCAGCATGTAAGTAATGCGTGTGTTTTTTACACTACTAGGTACAGCTGCAGCTCCTATGATGAGGCTGGGGAGCAGTATTTCTTTATTTCTGTTTCATTTGTGTTCTGTCAGGTGGGATTATCAGAAATACTTCTTCAACTTTAAAAGTCACACAGGAATCACTGGGACTGGGGGACTGAATAGTACATACTGCAGGCTTGTGTTTAGTCCCCCTTCTTAAATGCAGACTTTTAATTTCTTTTTGCAGTGGAACTGCTGGATACAATAAGTGTCCTGATGGAAATCTACTTTTCTTAGTTGTCTGTGACAGATACTAAAATAGAAGTCCTTGGATCTCTCCAAGGCTACAGGCTGTGTGCTGATGATGCTGAGCTGTAATGAGTGACTGCTGTGTCTTGTATTCAGAACGCAGGCTGCCATAGCTTTTTATGGTGTTACAGCTTCTCGGTTGTCCTTGTCTTGGGCTGCTAGGGGTTACTGTCTTCCTATAGAGTGGTTTGGACGTGAGGTTTGCCTGAGGGTCAGCTGCTTTTATTCATGTCTAGCATCCATTAATGTTTTAAGTTAATAGGCCTGACTGAGAGGCTGAAGTGTGGTTTGTTTCCTTCCACTTTGTTATGAAATAGAAGAAAACCAGTAGTGGTGGTAGGGTCTTAATTTGCTTTAGCCAGTTATGTCACAACACTTATGTGTGGTTTCGCTTACTGCAAGATAGGATAGACTGTTCTAAATAATGTGATTTCCTTTCATTTGTCTTTATAGCTAAACTTTTTGCATTGACTGTAAGCAACCTTAAATAGGTCATCTAAAATATTAGGTAACTTCTGTCTTTCTGGTTTTTTAATAGAGGAAGAAAAATCTGAGTTTTCTGTAAGGGTGGTAGCTTGGTTTTTGTTTGGGTTTTTTTAATTAAAAAAGATGAGCAGTATTATCCAGCCACCAAGCCAGGAAATGTGAAATTGCTACTCTACCCTTAATTGGTTTAGTGGTGGACTTGGTAGTGTTAGGTTAATGGTTGTACTGGGTGATCTTAAAGGTCTTTTCCAACCTAAATGATTCTATGATTATGCTCATAATACAGTAATGAAACTTAGCCACCTTTCTGACTGGTAGAGGACGTATTTTGTCAGGGGGAAAAACCCATAAATATGATCACCTTACTGTTCTTGCTATGTTGAAGCCAGGTTTGTTGCAGCAAAGGATACAGAATGCTATGTCTGCTGAACGCAGCCTCTAGGCTGTGGGAGGGATGCTCTGCTCTACCTCTGCAGGACGGTGCAGAGCGCTGGCGGCAGCTCACTGCCTGAATGTGACCTTTGTGAGAGGGGATTCTTAGAACTCCTCAGTAAAGGGGGAAAACAAGTCAGAAACTTACTTCCTGATCCAGTGCCTGACTGGGACATTACATGTTTATTCCGTATACCAGCTTTGTGATACCTAATGTTGTTTCATGATGATGGCTTTTTCATTTACACTCTAATGATTGACAAACCTAATTGCTGTTGTGTGCTGTTAGGCGGAGTGAGCTATGGAGCTTGTTGGAAGTCCAAGCTTCTACTCCAGTCTGATCTTTCTCAGCCTTGTTGTTTTGAATATACACTCAAGTTTTGATTCTCTTACTCTGTGAAGTTTACTTTGATTTAGTAGGAGGGAATGATGCATTCCCGCATTGCTGAGCTAATTGCTGATTAGTTCCTTACTTCTGCTGCAGCAAGGATGACCAGTTTCTATTTGTTTTTCACTGGTGTTACAGAGACCTTTCTAAGGTAGCTAAACTAAAGTCCTTTGTTTAAGGCTTGGTTTGTATTGATAGGGTGGAAATGCAACTGCCAGACCTTGTTCCTGAGGACACATCTATTGCCACATTCCATATGGCTAAGAGGAGAAAGAAACTCAGCATTTCTGAATTTGAGAGAGCAGCAGACAAACGACTTCCTCAGAACCAAGGTAAGGCCGCAGTCAAAAATGCCCTTGTTCAGCACTGTGTTTGCTGTCGGTTGATTTTCATCTGCTGCAGTTTGGTTCTTAGTAATTTTTCAGCTGGGCAGTTGTACGTTTGGAAGCAAGACTGCAGTATCTTGTGCAGAGGGGATAGCAGAGAAGGTAAAAGTCCCTCCTATCAAATTTAAAATAAGCCTTTTTGAGCCAAGTTATAGGCTCTGCCCTGACTATATATAACTTTTTGACTATTTTCCCAACTTGGTGCTCTTTGAGTTTTGAAGTGTCTCCAAAGGAAGCAATTGCTGTCTTCCCCTCAATTCTAGAAACTTGAAAATAGAACAAGCTGCATACTTTTTATTGCATTTATATGAAATAAGTTAATGAAGTTCTTGTTTGAGAAAAAGGGGTCTTGTAGTTTTATAAAAGAAATAATGTTTTATATGGGAATAAGTCTTCCCTTTAAACATAAATTTGCAAATTGGTTAAATATAACTTTCATTTTAGTTGCAGTTTAACAGAGGCAGATAAAACACCTACCTTGATGTGGTGGGTTGACCCTGGCTGGATGCCAGGTGCCCACCAAAGCCGCTCTATCACTCCCCTTCTCAACTGGACAGGGGAGAGAAAATCTAATTAAAAAGTTCATGGGTCAAGATAAGGACAGGGAGATCACTCAGCAATTACCATCAGGGGCAAAACCAGACTCGACTTGGGGAAAATCAGTTTAATTTATTACCAATCAAAACCGAGTAGGGTAATGAGAAATAAAACCAAATCTTAATACACCTTCCCCCCACCCCTCCCTTCTTCCTGGGCTCAACTTCACTCCTGATTTTCTCTACCTCCTCCCCCCAAGTGGCGTAGGGGGACAGGGAATGGAGGTTATGGTCAGTTCATCACACATTGTCTCTGCCGCTCCTTCCTCCTCGGGCGAGGACTCCTCACACTCTTCCCCTGCTCCAGTGTGGTGTCCCACCCACGGGAGACAGTCCTCCACGAACTGCTCCAATGTGGGTCCTTCCCACAGGCTACAGTTCTTCATGAACTGCTCCAGTGTGAGTCCCTTCCACAGAGTGCAGTCCTTCAGAAGCAGACTGCTCCAGTGTGGGTCCCCCACTGGGTCACAAGTCCTGCTCCACCATGGGCTCCTTTCTCTCCATTGTGTTCTTGTAGCCTGTTGTGTACAGGGTAATTTCTCAACTAATGTGTCACAATTTTTTTTTCTAGCTCTGTCAACGTTGGACAGCACTACTTTGGCTCGGTGAGTTTAAGCTAAAATGTCTTAACTTCTGGCTGTCCTAACTACAGCAGCCTTGATTCATCACCTCTGGAGCTGTGAAAAATGGTAGAAGTACCTGGGTTCATGTTTAAGAACTGTGGTAGTAATAACACAAACATCTCCCACTCTGGTGATGGAATTTGAAGGTGTTGCACTACATACCTTGTGCTTTTCAGAAATTGTTGCTTTGCACTGTATGCCCAGATTGGTCTAGCTTGCATTGCTACTATTGCTCCTCTTTGACTTACTAGAATAATTCCTTTTTTCCTTTCATTCTCATGTTTTCAAGAATATCAGTACACAATATACCTTGCCTGTTAATTGATGACCTTAGAATATTATCTCTTCCTGTTAACTGACTCATCACATGAGTTGCATCCATGCAGTCTTTAGTCCAACTTCCCTGGAGTTCAAATTAAAGAACTTTTCCTGTGTTGCCCTTGTACTTTGCTAATGGTCCTAGCCATGATTAGCAATTTATTTCACCTTTCTCACTGCAGCCCTTGCTCATGGTCCCATGCAAGGTCCCATTCATAGGGCTGCATTCTGTGCTTCCTATGTGTGAATCCTCTGAATCCTCTTTTTCATTGGGCTGCATAGAGAGAGGGACAGGAGGTAGCTGAGCATGGCCAGTCTCTTTAGGGTGCAAAATATGTACATTGAGATACATCTTCTCCCATGGTTTACATGTTGCTATCTAAGCTCCCATCTCAAAGAAGTTAATGGTGTGTTCGTGGCTGTACATCGCTGTGAATACTTATACTATAAGCGGCTTCTCAGACTTTGAAGTCCTCCTGCCATCCTGCTGTCATTTAGAGGACACCTCAAACGTTTGTTTTCCCTTTTTTTTTTTTGTTATTTAAAATTTTTAAAATTCCTGAACCTTTTGTCAGATATATTGTTGCACCCCTCTCAAGGTAGGAGGCTGTACAACAGTCTGTTTCCTGATCTCTGTGATACATATCCTGATGTTAGGTGATATAATGAAATTAAACTATTTTTTTAAAGTAGACTAGCATGTAATCTTCAAGGGTTTTTTGGGGGGAAATTCCTCCTAGCTAAGGGATTTGTGACATGTCTCACTGTTAGTGGCACCATGTCTTGTAATGTGAGGGTAAAAGGGGAGTGTGTAAGTTTGGAAAATTATTTATTCCCTCCTCTTTTTACAGATCTCTTCGCATGTCTCTTGGTTCCTTGATCCCACCAGACACTGTTGAAAAGAGAGGCTTGCTCCGGAGGCCAAAAAATCGCAAAGCTATTGACATGGAAGCTTTTGAAGGCAGAGTGGAACAGAACATGCTGAAGAGAAAAGGTTTCTTTTGTGTCATTACTTCTGTTTTGGGAGGGGAGGGCCCTATATAAGGTGGCTTTTAGAAGCAGTTACTCAAGTGTGGTCTGTATTTTAGATTTAAAGACTACTAGCATGTTCACAGAAATCCAGTGTAATTTGGGAGGCAAGATTAGAATGAGGCTCTGCATCTGTAGTTGCTGATTCTATGCACTTAAATGTGTGCTCCACCCAGTTTGGCGATTTATACCACAGGAATCATTTGGGATCATGTTCATAACTGTGGGTACTGGGGAGACAGTTTGGTAAAGTTAGGGGCACTGAAGTGTGGTGATACAGTTTCAGTGTTTGATCTGAGGAGGATTAATAAAATTTGGTTGAACAACTTAAATTTTGGATTATGCAAGTCCTGGTAATAAATGTGTGTCCCTATGACCTTGAACATTTTTCACATAAAACTTATTTTAAAACTTTATCTAAACAGCACAGAACTATCCTGTGGACTCACAAACAGCATCTGGGATTCAAACAGCCACACTGACAAGTGATGCAGAAATCATGCTGAGTAACACAGAGCTCTTCGTTCAGCCTCAGTTTGATGAACAGAGCCAAAATAAGCTTTCTGCTCTTGAACCACAGTTACCAGATTCAAAAACTCCAGCACAGAAAAGCAAGGTTTCTGATGCAGCTCAAGAGGAAGCAACGCTGGTGGGTCTGGTATCCAGTATGGGCACAAATGAGGGAAGGATCCAAAGGTTTTCTGAGGACTTAATCCTTGATTGTGAGCATGTTGACAGAATGACTCATGTATCTCCAAAAACACCTGCAAAACAGCGAGAAGATGAGCAAGATCATTCTCAGCAGAGTAACCCAATGGAGCAGCTTTCTGTTTCAGAAGAGGTGGTGGTTGGCAGTGAGTACTATGGGTTAGGACTTGGGGCTTAGCAGGTATTATCTGAAATCACAGAATGGTTGAGGTAGAGAGGGACCTCTGGAGGTCACCTTCTCTAACCCCCCTCTTCAAGCAGGGCCACCTAGAGCAGGTTGCCCAGGACTGTGTCCAGGCAGTTTTTTTGTCCTTGCAGTCCAGGGATGGAGACTGTAAACTCTGGGCAACCTGTTCCAGTGCTCAGTCACCCTCACAGTGAAAAAGTGTTTCCTTATGTTCAGACAGAGCCTTCTGTGTTCTAGTATGTCTCCGTTGCCTCTTGTCCTGGCACTGGGCACCACTAGAAAGAGCCTGGCTCTGTCTGCTTTAGATCCTTCCTTCAGATACTTGAATATATTGATGAGACTGCCCCTGAGCCTTTTCTTCTCCAGGCTGAACAGTCCCAGCTCTTTCAGCCTTTCCTCCTAGGAGAGATGCTCCAGTCCCTTAGTTGTCCTGGTGGCCTTTTGCTGGACTCTCTCCAGTGTGTCCATATCTCTCTTGTACTGGGGAGCCCAGAAGTGAACACCGTAAATTGGTCACAAATATGGTGAGATAAGGAGATAATGTGTAGGAGCTGTAGACAGAGTTAGGAGGAGTCTGAGGAGGTTGCTAGTCTAGAGCTTTACCCTGGTAAGGTCATTTACATGTCACAGCTAACCGCTTTGCTGTCTCCAGGGCCTTAAAAATCCCTTGGACAGAGGTAGTCACCTCCCAGGTCACTCTGTACCAATGCTTTTGCAAGTCCTAGCACTTGCTCGTTTTTCCCTGGTGTCTGGTATCTCTCTTCTGCATTCGTTTCCCTGTAAATACCTTGTCCTGGCTGTGTAAACGGGAGCATATTTTCCTCATGTTGCATAGACCAGGCCCCAAGGCATGGTTGTAATCCTAAAATTTTCTGCTTAGTGACCCTGGGGCAGCTAGCCAGGACAGTATCTGCTGTAGTAAATAGCTTTGTGCTGTTCTTCAATCAAAACTCCTTATGCTTTCCATGAAATATGGACAGCTAATGTTTCTTTTTCATTTAGGTTTTTTTATGATCCTTTTTCAAAAGGGGCACAGAAATGGTATTTAAAGAGTGGTTGGTGTATTCATTACTGCTCAAGCCAGGAGAGGAGTTTTTGCCATGGAAAGCTTAGAAATTAATTAATGCCTGGTGGACTGTTGCACCATACTCTGCTTCTGGAAGGTTGTCTGTGGCAAGCATGGTGGGAAAAGTTGTTTTGAAAGGACAAAGGAAGAGATGATGCCTCTACACGAACACACGCAGCATGGGGAGCAAAGAGGAGGAGCTGGAAGCTGCTGTGCTACTAAAAGCTACAAACTGATTGCCATAACTGAAACTTGGTGGGACAAATCCCCTGACTGGAATGTGGCTATCGATGGATACAGGCTGTTTAGAAGGGACAGGCGAGGAAGGAGGGGCGGAGGTGTTGCCCTCTACGTAAAGAAATCAATACAGTGTAAAGAGCTGTCCCTGAAGAATAGCCATGAGCAGGTTGAAAGCTTATGGGTAAGAATCAGAGACAGAGGCAACAAAGGGAACCTGGTGGTTGGTGTCTACTACAGGCCGCCTGATCAAGGGGAGCCTATTGATGAAGCCTTCTTCCTCCAGTTCCAGGAGGCTTCATGCTTGCAGACTCTCATCCTGCTGGGGGACTTCAACCACCCCGACATTTGCTGGAAAAGCAACACGGCGAGCTGTAGGCAATCCAGGAGATTCCTAGAATGCATTGAGGATAACTTCCTAAGCCGGGTAATAGACACTCCTGCCCGAGGGGGTGCAATACTGGACCTGATGGTCACCAATGCAGGTGAGCTCATTGGTGATGTCAAGACTGGAGGCAGCCTGGGCTGCAGTGATCATGCATTGGTGGAGTTCGTGCTCCTGAGGGACATGGGAAAAGCGAGGAGTATAGTCAGGACCCTATATTTTAGAAAAGCAAACTTCTAGCTCTTCAAGGAGTTAGTCAGAAGGAACCCCTGGGAAATGGTCCTCAGGGACAGGGGAACGGAACAGAGTTGGCAGATCTTTAAGGACACCTTCCATAGCACACAAGAGCTCTCAGTCCCCAAGTGTAAGAAATCAGACAAGGAAGGGAAGAGACCAGCATGGCTGAGTCGAGACATGCTGGGCACAGGCAGCAGAAGCAGGGACAGGTGTCCTGGGAAGAGTACAGGGAAGCTGCCCGGTTGTGTAGGGATGGGGTCAGGAAGGTCAAGGTGCAGCTGGAGCTGAATTTGGCAAGGGATGTAAAGAATAAGAAGAAGGGCTTCTACAGGTATGTCAACCAGAAAAGGAAGGTTAAAGAAAGCGTACCTCCCCGATAAACAAGAATGGCGACTTAGTATCAACAGATGAGGAGAAAGTGGAGGTACTCAACAAC